GGCACAATAGGTCAAAAGACATAACCTTGACCAACATCTATGCACCAAATGATAGACTTGCAGAATACATAAAACAATGATTAACAGAATTGAAGAAAGGAGTACCACCACAATAGTGGTAGGAGACATTAACACACCACTAACACAAAAGGATGGGTCAATTTAAAAGAAACTTAACAAAGATGCAGAAGATCTAAACTATACAATCAGCCAACTTGACCTTGTGGATGTATTCAGGGTACTGCACCCAACTAAAACTCAATTCGTTTTCTTGTCAAGTGCACATGGTACATTTTCCAGAATCGATCATACAAAGCAAGCTTGAACAAATTCAAAATCAATGAAATAATACAAAACATCTACTTAGACCACAATGTCATAAAACTAGAAATCACAAGAGGGTAAAGCATGCGGCTGGTCTGGCAAGAAGTGGCCAGTGTGCCTGAGTGTACTCTTCTGATCATTTTTTTCCCTTCTGATCATTTTTAAAATTATCTTCAACAGGATGTTGCTTGCAGAGGAAGACAAAAGATGGCCAATCCAAGGATCATGTGGAGCTCACAGCCTCACAGCCAACTTTGATTTGAGTGTTTGTTCTACTTTTTCAACCTTGAGTGGGTCTGTTCACCACTCTGGAAGCTCCTTCTCCATTTATGGAAGGGGAAAGTTATTCAAGTTACAATTAGACCACTTGGCGGAAAGAAAGGGGACAATGATAGGACACTAGAGCAAGAAGAGCTGTCCCCAGCTGTGGTCCTCTGTAGGGTGCAAGGTCCAGACCTGAGATGAGCTTTGGAGGAGGGAGACATCTAGCCCCTGGGGAGAGCTGCCCAGCCCCTGGGGAGTGCCACACAGCCCCTGGAGAAAGCTGCCAGGCCCCATGAGAGAACCGCCTGGTGTGTACGAGGAACTTTAGTACTTTCCTTCATCTCCTCCTCCAGTGCACCTGTAAGTAACACCTCCAAAGCCCTTTTCCTTGTAACTCACAAGTTTGTTCTCTCTAGGTTTGCTCCTTTCCTGTAGGTAACCTGAACACTAAGTCTTGTTCCAGAACCTGAACCCTGAGCTCAGTTCCAGAGACAAAAGTGAAGTATAATTTCCAGCTAAGGAAGCAAAGGTGGATGGAGCCTCAAAGTTCATCCAGCCACTCCCACTGGACTCACTCACACAAACACCTTGCAGTCCAGAGGGCCAACAATGTCATGAAATATCTTCTAACTGAATAAGAAGGCATGCAGTTTCAACTCTAGACAGCCAGTGTTAAAGTGGGCCCTCCTTCCCCTTCATCTCAATGCCCCTGTTCAATATGAAGCAGCCAGAGAGTCTGCACCTCTATTCCCAAATGGGAAATTCACAAATAAAAAATATAATCTCTTTGGAAAAAAAAATTAATCACTATGCCCACTATCACCCTGTCTTTTCTGGTCCCTGCCAGATCTTTCTCATTTCCTTTACTCACTCCTTCCACCCACTGAGTTATGCAACCTGTGCTTTCATCCCTACACATTCTCACCCTTCTGCTCCCACCCCTTACCCTTTGGATCTCCATACACACTTTATATAATGAAAACAACAACCAAAAAACCCACTCGTGTTGAAACTCCTTTCTCCTAGAACACAAATGGGTTATGAAAGAAATAAAGCATAAAATTAAAAAGTTCCCTGAAACAAATGAAAATGAAAATACAACACACCTAAACCTCTGGGATTCAGATAAGGCAGTCCTCAGGGAGCAGTTCATATCAATAGGCACTCACCTAAAAAGAAAGGGGGGAAATCCATTATTTTAATTAACACCTTCATCAAACAGGAAAAAGGCCAACAATCTAATCCTACATACAGCCTCTAGAAGAAAGGAAATTATACAGACAAGAGCTGAATTCAATGAGATAGAGAATAGAAAAACAAATGAAACCATCAATAAAACCAGGAGCTGGTTTTTCAAAAGGGTAGATAAAATTAACAAATCACTGGCAAACTTAATAAAGGTGAGGGAGAGAGAAGACACGGGTACCTTGATTAAGAAATGATAGCGGTGACATCACAACAGAACCAGAGGAAAGTAAACTGATAATACTGGAACACTATAAAAAGCTATACTCATATAAATTCTAAAACTTGGAGAAAATGGAAAAATTCCCTGAAACTCATCTCCTACCCAGATTGACATGAACAGATGTAGAACACTTGAGTAAATCCATCACAAAAGAAGAAACTGAACAAGGTCATAAAAAGACTTCCCCATAAGAAAAGTCCTGGACCAGATAGCTTCACAGCTGAATTCTACCAAACATTCAGAAATCTAGCATAAATTCTACTTAATGTATTTTAAAAAAAGAAGAAGGATCACTCTCAGAGGCATTCTATAAAGAAAGCACAATGTTAATACCAAAATCAGGCAAAGATAGAACCAAGAATGAAAATTACAGACCAATATCTCTCATGAATATAGAGGAAAATATCCTTAACAAAATCCTAACTAATAGGATAAAAAAGCACATAAAAAATTCATCATGACCAAGAGGGATTCATAACAGGTATGCTAGAATGGTTCAACATAAAAAAAATGTAATTCATCACATTAACAAAGCAAATAACAAGAACCACATGATCTTAGCAATTGATGCAGAAAAGGCATTTGACAAAATACAACACCCCTTACTGATAAAGACACTCATCAAAATTGGAATAGAATTTCCTCAACAAAGTGAATAGTATATATTCAAATTCAAGAGCCAATATCATTCTCAATGGAGAAAGACTTAAAGCATTCTCCTTGCAAACAGTGACCATAGAAGGATGCACACTGTGACCACTTTTATTCAATATTGTATTGGAAGAAGAAAAGGCAAAAAAAGGCATCCAGATCAGCAAAGAGATACTTAAATTATTGCTATATGCAGATGATATGATAGTGTACAAAGAAAATCCCAAGGATTCAACAAAAAAACCTGTTAGAACTAGTAGAACAATTTAGTAGAGTGGCAGGATATAAGATCAATATCCAAAATTCAGTGGGATTCCTCTACAGTAACAAAGAGAACATAGAGAAGGAAACCAAGGCAGCAATACCATTAATAATAATAAGAACCAAACATAAATTGAGATACTTGGGAGTCAACCTAACTAGAGGCAAAAAAACCTATACAAAGAAAACTACAGAACATTTCTGCAAGACACAATAAAAGACCTAGATAAATGGAAAAATGTGCCCTAATCATAAATAGGAAGCATCAATACTGTGAAAATGACAATCCTACCAAAAACAATCTATATGTTCACTGAAATCTTAATCCAGATACAAATTCCTTTTTCAAGTAGATCAAAAGGGAAATTGTCAAGTTTATCTGGCAAGGAAAGAGACCCCAAATAAGCAAAGCACTTCTGAAAAACAAAAATGAAGTGGGAGGCATAGCATTCCCTGACCTTAAAACCTACAACACAGCATAGTACTAGTACAATGGCAGGCACAAACACCCATGGAACAGAATTGAGAACCCAGAAATGGACCCAGCCATCTATAGTCAACTGATACACGACAAGGAAATAAAACCTATCAACAAATGGTGCTGGCAAACCTGCAGAAAGCTGAAACAGGATCTACATTTTGCACCATACACAAAAATCAAATCAAGATTGATCAGAGACCTGGAACTAAAACCTAAACCCAAAAAGTACATCAGAGACAAACTGGGTCAAGCTTAGACAGCCTAGTCTATGGTATAAAGAGACTGCCAAATGTAGCCAGAAATGCCAAATCTGGAGAGGATAAAATTGATGAATGGGACCTACTAAAGATTAAGTCCCTGTGAGCATCAAAAACATTTTCCAGCAGAGTGGAAAGAAAACCTACTGATTGGGAAAAACCATTTGGCAATACCATTTCATACAAGGGTCTCATATCAAAAGTTGACAGAATCCTACAGGGTCTCCACAAGAAAGAAACTGATGACACAATTACAAAAATGGGTAACAGACATGCAAAGACTTTGCACAGAGGAAGATATTCAGATGGCCAAGAAACAAAACTACTGGCAATAAGAGAAATGCAAATCAAAATCACAATGAGATACCATCTTTGCAGTGGCAAAGTTTAATAAGACAGCAAGTAATAAATATTGGAGAGGATGTGGTGAGATAGGAACTCTTATACACTGTTGGTGGAATTGTAAAATGGTACAACCATTTTGGAAGGCAGTTTGGCATTTCCTCAGAAAGCTGAACATAGAAATTCCATATGGCCCAGTTATTCCACTGTTTGGAATATACCCTGAGAAAACTGAGAACTGAGGCACAAATGGAGACTTATATACCAATACATTGTAGAGTTATTCACTATCACAAAACACGGAAACAGCCCAAATGTCCAACCACAATAGAATGGATGGAGAAACTATGGTACATTCACATAATAGAACACTATGTAGCACACAGGAGCTATGATTTGGTAAATTACTGCCTAACTTGGGAGGGACTGGAAAGCATTATGCTGAGTGAACGAAGTCAGTTCCATAAGGACAAATACTGTATAAAACCATTATTGTATTAGGATCCAAAGGGGCGGGGGGGGGGCGGAACAGAGGGGTGACGATGGGCATGGGATGGAGGTGGTAAATCACAGGGTCTCACAATTTGATGGATGGAGGAGGGTGAAGGAAATGGGAAAGATCTGGTGTGAAAAACAATGTATATGAACTTTGTAAATAAACCAATATTAAAAACAAAACAAAAACACCAAGCCTACCAACTACACAGAGGTAGTCACAAAAAAGCATGGTACTAGTACAATGTCAGGCACATAGACCCATGGAACAGAATTGAGAACCCAGAAATAGACCGAGCTATCTATGGTCAACTGATATTTGACAAGGAAATGAAACTTATCAAATAGGGAAATGGCAATCTCTTCAACAAATGGTGCTGGCAAAACTGGACTGCTACCTGCAGAAAGCTGAAGCAGGATCCACATCTCACACTGTACACAAAAATCAACTCAAAAGTTGGCAGGATAACGCCAATAGGGGTGGAGAAAAAGCTGCTGCTGGGCTCAAACGGGTTGGCAGTTGGGGCCACCAGCAACCTGACCAACGAGGAGAAAGAAGGCCAGAGTTTGCGGTCCTCAGTCTTGAATGAAGTGTCCACTCGTGCCAGGTCCAAGCTGCCTTCTGGCAAAAACATCCTCGTTTTCGGTGAAGATGGTTCTGGCAAAACCACTCTTATGACTAAACCACAAGGAGTTGAGCATAGCAAAAAAGGAAGAGGCCTGGAGTATTTGTACCTCAGTGTTCAAGATAAGGACCGAGATGATCACACACACTGCAATGTGTGGATCCTGGATGGAGACCTGTACCACAAAGGCCTGCTGTTTGCTGTTGTTGCAGAGTCCTTGCCAGAGACCCTGGTCATTTTTGTTGCAGACATGTCTTGGCTGTGGACTGTAATGGAATCGCTACAGAAATGGGCTAGTACTTTATGGGAGCACATTGATAAGATGAAAATTCCACTAGAACAAATGATAGAACTGGAACAGAAGTGTTAAGTAAACCAGATGGGTTGGGGTTTTTTCCACTAGAAAACTTATGAGTCTCTCTAGAAGGGCCTGCCCTTCTTTTCCCTTTTCCTGGTATCAGGAGACTGCAAAGCTGTCTTTACAAAGTGTATTTTGTTTGCCCATTTATTTCAGAGTTGCTTTTATGTATTTAGTAGTCAGTGTTTAACTAGTGTCTTTATTTCAATGGTCACAGTCTTCTCTTGCTATCTGAGTAGAACGTTCTTATGACACCTTTTAGAAGCATAAATTGTATTTAACAAAGAAGCAATTGCTGTTAAGTTATATGGGGAATATTGGGGGTCATCCTCAGACTAAAAAACTAACCCAGTATTCCATGTAATGCATAGAACCTAAAATAAAATTAGCATGTAGTGTTCCCAGACCCACTCTAGGCTCTGATAGCTTGATTCTGAGACACTCACTGTAGCCTTGGGGCTTCCCTCTGGCCCCCAGTTTCTTGCTGCTGGGATGGTGTGCTGCCTCTTTAAGAGCTTGCAGCCACCGGAGTAATGGTGTGCATAGTCCAATGGTGATTAATTTTATACAATACAATGGGCATGATTGTGTGAAACATAATGTCAATGAATGAAAGTGTGAAGCACACACCAAAAAGACCAAGCCACTATGTACATGAATGAAACACAATGCATATGGATAACTATATGCAAACCAATAAAAATGAGAGGGAGTAATGAAAAAAAATTACGTGAAGGCTTAACACATGCTTATTAAAGCAATTTGTAAATTTAAAAAATAAATTCAAGGTGGATTAAATCTGGGATTAAAGCCCAAAACCATAAAGTTCACAAGAAACCAACTGGGATCAAGCTTAGATGGCCTAGTCCATGGTATAAAGAGACTGCCAAATACAGCCAGAAATCCACAATCTGGAGAGGATAAAATAGATGAATGGTACTCCTAAAGATTAAATCCCTGTGTGCATCAAAAACATTTTCCAACCAGGGACTGGAGAGCATTATGCTAAGTAAACTAACTCAGTCTCATAATCACAAATACTGTGTAAGATCATTATTGTAGAAATAGTTAACTGGTAAAATGTGTATGAGAATCTAAAGGGGGGAGGGGAGGAAGAGGGGGTAAGGATGGGTAGATGGGGGAATCATAGGGTCACACAATTTGATGGGTGGAGGGAGGGGTGGGTTAAGGAAGTGGGAAAGACACGGTGTCAAAAACAATGTGTACGAACTTTGTAAGTTAACCAATATAAAATAAATTTTTAAAAAAAATTAAAAAAGAGGGAGAGAAAAAAAACCCACACTATTTTCCAACAGTGGGGAAAAAATTTGCAATACCATTTCAGACAAGGATCTCATATCAACAGTTTACAGACTCCTACTGTGCCTCCACAAGAAAAAGACTGATAACACAAATAAATAAATGGACAAATGACTTGGAAAGAATTTTCGCAGAGGAAGATATTCAGATGGCCAACAGATACATGAAATGCTCAAAATCACTAGCAGTAAGAGAGATGTAAATCAAAACCACAATGTGATATCATCTCACCCAAGTAGCAGTGCAAAGTTTAACAGGACAGCAAGCAATAAATGTTGGAGAGAATGTGGAAAGACAGAAACTTTTATACACTGTTGGTCAGATTTTAAATTGGTACAACCACTCTGGAAGGCAGTTTGGCACTTCCTCATCAAGCTAAACATAGACATTTCACATGACCCAGCTATTCTACTGTGTGGAATATACCCCAAGAAAATTAGAACTGGAACACAGAGATTTGTACACCAATATTTATAGCAGCGTTATTCATCATCTCAAGGACATGGAAACAGCCCAAATGTCCAACCACAATTTAATAGATTGAGAAACTATGGTACCTTCACATGATGAAATACCACACAGCATGCAGAAGCAATGATTTTAAAAATTACTACCTAACTTGGGAGGGACTAGAGAGCATCATGCTGAGTGAACTAACTCACAGTCCCATAAGGACAAATACTGTATAAGACCATTATTGTAGAAATAGAAAGATAACGAGGAGCAGAGGGGTGAGGATGGGCTGAGGATAATAATAGGGATGGAGGAGCGGTTAAAGGAAATGGGAAATATCCAGTGTCAAAAACAATGTATATGAACACTGTGAGTAAACCACTATAAAATTATTCTTTTTAAAAAAATAATAGGACCTTGGGCGGCGGGCCGCGTCGGCCGGGCATGGCGGCTTGGGGCCCGGTCGCGGCAGCCCCTCTGCTCCGCAGGATCTGCGCATTCCCTCTTCTGCATCGCGTCCAGCGGATGTTTGCCTCCCAGACTGAGGGGGAGCTCAGAGTAACCCAGGTCCTCAGGGAGAAGTTTCCTCGGGCCACGGCCATCAAGGTCACTGACATCTCAGGAGGCTGTGGGGTGGTGTACGAGATCCACATCGAGTCAGACGACTTCAAGGAGAAGAGAACGGTGCAGCAGCACCAGATGGTGAACCAGGCCCTGAAGGAAGAGATCAAAGGGATGCACGGACTGCGGATATTCACATTTGTCCCCAGACGCTGAGCACGCAGCCCGCACGCCCTGCCACGCACCTGCTGAAGATTCATCCACTTTGTGTATGGACAGCGCAGTATAATTTACATATTACAAGTATGGAGAGATGGGCTCTCCGCTTAGATGTGAATTAAAGGCCTTTGGCACCGGAGCTGCAAAAAAAAAAAAATGTGAACAAAGGCAGATGGTATTGAAAGGCACTGGAGGCATTAGTATAAAATCAGGATCCAGGAATTGATGGAATACCAACTGAAGTGTTACAAAAACAGATGCAGTCTTGGATGTGCTCACCAGTGTATGGGAAGAAATGTGGAAGAAAACTACCTCGCCTCCATATTTATGCTAATTACCAAAAAGGTGATTCAACAAGCTATGAAAATTGTTGAACAATATCATTAATGTCACACACAATTGGTATCTTGTTAAAGATTTTTTTAAATAAAATTTTTATTTTATACTGATTTAGGAGAGCTCTGCTGGCCTACTGGTTAAGAAGCTGCACTTGCAATCCCTAAGGAATACCGTTCGAATCCACCAGTTGCTCTGCAGGAGAAAGATGGGCAGTCTCCTTCTGTGTGATTAACTGACTCTGAAAACCCACCAGAGAGTCAGCGAAGGGCTGGATCTGACTCCACAGTACACAACAACAACAACATACTGGTTTATTCACAAAGTTCATTTACATTGTTTTTCACACTGGATCTTTCCCATTTCCTTTATCCACCCTTCCTTGCACCCATCAAATTGTGCGACCCTATGATTATCACCCCCCACACACCCCCACCCTTCCTCACCCCTCTTCTCCAGCTAACTCAGTCCCATAAGGACAAATATTGTATAAGATCATTATTGTAGAAATAGATAACTAATAAAACGTGTGTGAGGATCTAAGGGGTGGGAGAGTAGAGATTATTTCTCAAAAACAGCTGGAGCAGTACATGGACAGGGAACTCCCAGAAATTCAAGTTAGATTCAGAAGAGAATCTCAGAATGAGAGGTATCATTATAGATGTCAGATGGATCCTCTCTGAACCCAGAGAACATTGCAAAAGTATCTACTTTTACTTTTTTTATCATGCTTTGATTGAGCTTTTACTGTATGCAGCTCAATAGGAAAGAGAAAACTTTTTCTTTTTTCTTAGATATTATTACGTTTCAATAGTGTTAGCCTAAAAGGTGGTGCTTTTTAAATTTTTTTTTTAGCTATTTCAGTTAGCCCCATCTGATCTCCAGCTACCTTAACTACAGATACATGGTCTTACAAATCAGGATGGTCTTGCAAATCACCAACAGCTGTGGGAGTAGGATAAAGGAAAGAGTGCTTCCCACACTGGGCTGCAAGACTTGATAAGAGGAAGACTGGAACGAGAATGAAACCCTGTCAACAAGACCCTGCTGATGGTGGTGGAGAAACTATGATATTGTTGTAGAGACACTGTGACAGTATATAACCACAGAAGTTCTGAGATAAAGACTACAGTTAAAGGATTTTTCTGTTCTTGCCTTAAATTATGGAAGGAAAAGCTGCTTGCTGAACTGAAACCAGAGCCTGCACTAATTGAGGAATTGTGCTTTGGGACTGCTTGGCTAAAACTTAGATTTGCAGCGCGAGAGCGACGCAGCGCGAGAGTGAGGCCGCCAGACGGGGGAACGCCGCCGCCAGACGGGGTTCCACCGCGAGAGGGACCTGGAAGAGACCCGGGAAGAACAACAGCCAGCCACCTACCGCGGAACTCCAGAGGAGCGAAGACTGTGAGACCCCAGAGGAACGAAGACTACCGGACACTCTGTGACCCCCCTG